ATGAAATGTTGCATTAAAATATAATTTTTTAAAATATTCTACAAAATTTCAATTATAGATAGTATTAGAAAATAAGCAAATAAATTGGTGGGCAGTACCTAGAAAATTAAGTCAATTCTTATAAGTAAATAAAGCATATTATACAACTATTTAGTGGAAAAAGCTAATAAATTTATATGAAATGAAAGAAAAAATAGAAAACAGAATACAAAAGGCAAAATGGTAATAAAAACTTTTAATTGATCAGGTAAAATTATAAAAGTTACAACAATATACTTCGAGTCAATTCAACATTTTATAATTTAAGTGGTGAACAAAATGATAAAGAAATTGAATCATAACATTTAATGAGATATGATTGGAAAGGAAAAAATTATTTTTGAATTAAATCAAAATTATAAATTTGGTTTGGAAATGAGTTAATATATAAAAAAGGTAAGAGTCATATTTCTAGTAAATTACCATGATTTTAGGATAAATTGATTTCAACTATGCATTTCATACTTTTAAAAAATAAATAGTAAAAAAAGTAAGATAAATAGATATTAAAAAAAATTAATGTAATTAATTCGGTAAAAAAATGAATGTTTAAACACCAATTTGCATTTGGTAGTAAATTTCTGTACAATTATATGGACTAAAATATAAAAATTGGAACAATTATGAAATTATCAAAACTAAAAAGAAATAACAAAGAGTTTTAATTATATATTTTGGGTTGTAAAATTATTTTACTGATTTGAGTTGAAGAAATCCAAAAAGAGTGTGACTCCAGTGTGAATCAATATTTTTGTATTTCAATCACATCTTTAGCTACATCTTTTAATCCTAGAAAGATTATTAAAATAACAATACAATATAATTGCATAACATAAAAATAGTTGTTATCTAAAATAAATTCAATTAAAAATTGAGAAAATCAATGAAAAGCAATGATTATAGATTTAAAAATATACTATTAATAAATTCATAAAATGAGATAACATTATGCTTAAAATATCATAATAAAAGTACTTTTTAATTTGTTATAATATTGTTTGTATTTTATTTTTTCTAATAAATAATTAAACAAAAAATATTTGTATTTTGATATTTGTATTTTGTTTGTAATAAGTAATTAAACAAAAAACATTTTGTTACTAAACTATTAAAGGCTAATGATTGGCTGATGTGATTTTTTACATCGGATACCATTCGTTACGTGACATTATTACATCATCTAATATATCATATAGTATTATCAATGTAACAATTAAAATTTCTAAAAAATTCAAATATTAAAATAAAGGATAAATAATAAATTTGGTCACTTGACTTTTCAAGAATTTTTATATTAATCAGGTAACTTTTAAAAAATCACAATTTAATCATCAACATTTGTGAAATTCATTAATAATATAGTTTCCATTATTAACATCTTATTACCGACATGACATTACAATTTGGTCATTAATGTATGTAAAATTTGATATAATAAATTATTTTATTTTTTATTATTTGCATTGAAATAAATAAAAATAATCTTTGAATAAATCTTTGAATTTTGTATAAAATTAAAATAAATCATCAATATTGCATGGAATTAAAATTATGAAATTTTTTATCATAAAATATGTGACAAAAATGATTACTTCTTATCGTGTGTAATCTAAACTCATATGTATTAAAACAAAAAAAGTTCCAACTTTGCCGTTGTTCAATGATGTTAAATAATCAATGGACTTCAAGCTTAATTAAATACACGTATAAGTTTTTTCAAAGGGATTTGTTGGGCCAAATTTTAAGGACTAATTAATTAAGGGCAGAAACCCAATTCTTCATTCATTTTGCACTCCTCAACCCATTCAAAAGGATTAACACGAGAATTATAATGTGAGATAATTAATTATTTGATGATTTTAATAATTAATCTTAATTGAATATTTTTAATACATGCAAATATATCAATATAATTATATTTTGTTAATAATAATTCTATCAATTATGATAGTTCTAATAATGAAATAAAATTACAATTGGAAATTAAATATGTTGAAAACGGTTATTCATATGCTATGTAATTTATATCACAAACATATTTGTTGGCCTAACTGATATATTTTTAAAAGATATTTATATTTTATTAATAATTAATGTGTGCATGTTAAAATTCATGTACATTCTCACTGTTTATTTTACCAAGTTTTTCAATTTAATTATTAATAATAAAAATCACAATTTATATCATACTTTGTCCATATTCATTTGAATGGTTATATATAAGTATATTGTATTTGTAATATATATTGTATAGATTGTATATAAGATTTAAAATCAATCATGTTTACAATATTTCTAATAATAGTTAATATTAATTAAATATATTTACTTTTATTCACATTAATTATATTATTGTTGATATGATTTTCTTATTTATTCTTTTTTTAAGTGAAATATAAACTCTTACACAAACTTTTTACATTAGAATACAAAAAATCCTTTTCTTATAATTGCGATTAATCATGATAAATATTGTTTAGTCTTTGGTGCACAAAAAACAAAGGAAAAAAGAAAAGATATTGATTGGTTCATGTCTTAATGATTCGATTAGGAATTTTGGAGGAAACCACGAGGATGGAACATAATTTTTAATTTGTTGGTGCAATTGTGGAATGCTATGGAATTTGACATGATTTGATGGAAAAAAATTATTTATCCAAAATCCACCCAATGGCGATTATTCTCTAAAGTGCTCATTTGGAGTAAGGTGTTAGTCAAATATATATCATAGGAAATAAAAACTTTTTATGGCTATCGTTTTTTTTTTTTAATTAAAAAAGATTATCTCTATTTTTTAAGTAAAAAATAAAACATTAATCAATAAATCAAATATTCGTATGCTTCATATTATAACTAATAAAGCTATCATAAAATCAAAATATTATATAATTAATATGAATTAACAAATTAAGATGCATATTAGTAAAATTTTAAAAATGAATGATTTTTTCTGGATTGACGGTAACTCAAGGACACATCTAATTGCATTCAGATTGCAAAACAAAAGAAGGATAAGAGAAAAACAACATGCATGAGCATCAATAGTCAATTCCACAATTCTAGGCTTGACAAGTCAAGTTCTCTTTTCTCTCTCTCTCTCTAATTATTACTAAATTCCAATTCTTATATCTGAAGACAACTTGAATGTGTGGAAACTCATTCAATGTTTTATATGTATTATAAATGGATACTTAAAAAAAATGTTAAATCTCGCATTAGAATTATCTAATCATGAAAATCACACGATCCCCCACACCATCAAGGAAAAATTTGCAAAACGACGATAACGCGTCTTGTTTATTTATGACGCTTTATTTCTACTAGAGAAAAAACTACCTACAAAATGACCAGTGATTGAAACGTAGCATGTCTTCATAACTTCATCTATTAATTATGGATCAGTGGCTCTATCAGAACATTTGGCACATCAATGTGAATATTGGCTATTTAGTTATGACGCTTCATTTCTATTAGATAGAGAGTAAGTTACCGAAAGGATTCACTTGAAACTAGAGATCTCCTCTATTACCTGATACAAATTTTCTGTCCCACCTTGGATGGTTTTCACTTTCAAATACAAAGGTCATTTTTTGTAAGAAACAGATAAGCTGAATAAGCTTTAACTCAGAAATCATATCCTTTTCTGAACTTTATTCTGGCAATCCATGCTTTCTTTTCCTAGTATCTTCTCAAATCATTGGCCTGAAAATTCAAACAATGAAGTTACTTCATTTATTAGAAACCATCAAGTTTTTTATATGCATAAACTCAATTTGACCGGAATAGGGGATGAGAATAAGGAAAAGAAAATCATGAGAAAATTACTGGATGCACATTTTCAAAACAAAGATTTTACCACTATATTTTCTAAAGATAAAATTAAATTAATTAAACAAGTTCACATAACAGTTTAAGAATAGCTTTCACAACCCTTTCAAGTTGTTAAAAGTTTCTTTGTATTGCACTCGTGTTTTTGTTTAGTCAAGGTCTATTTGACATGGATATCAATCATATAGCAATAGAGCTTACAACAAACCATTTGTTTTTGTCTATATGGGAGTGCAGAAACAGAGAAACAAAAGATGATATCGGATTAAAGTTGATGAAAATAATAAAAGAAAGATTTCAAACTTTCTCGCTCTAGAGTTGTTAGGGACAATAAAATACCATCGAAGTTAGTTTGGAATTGTCGAGCTTGATACCTGGAACTGGAAGCTTTGTTCTTTTCTTTTCAGTTTTTTTTTTTCCTCTGGAATTGGAACCGGGAGTGTTTTATTTTTCTTTAAAGATGTAACTTTTAGTTTTGGCAGTTAAAGTGGTAGGTATAGTAATTGTTGTACATGTCATGGCTTGCATCAGATTCTTGCACTGCAAATAGTTGAGTTGAATCATTGATAATTGTTGATGTAATTCCTGGTCTGGTAGTCGAAAGTCTTACTGGAGGTTGAGAAGAGAGTATGAGTGACCTGTCACAGAGTAGAAAGTCAGGTGTGCCAAAGATGTTATTTTGAAGCATGCTTTGATACTCAAGTTAAGATAGTAAGATACACCGGAAGCAAGGAAATGAAAGAGAGCAGGAAGTAGTTATAGAGAGTAACAAGAGTTGAGCAGTGAATCACCTGACTGGTCTGGTTCTACCTTTTATACCTCCTGGTTGATGACATGGCTAATTGGGCTTCCATGCGTAAGACCTACTATGTGGCTACTAACATGACCACTTAGTATAACAATAATGAAGAGCTTAAAAGATAATAAGATTTTCATTAAGAATTTTTTTTGAATATATAATTTTTATTAATCTAACGAAAGGAGTAGACCAGCTACAAGTAAACAATAAGCTACAAAAACGTTACAAATGTCCTAGAATAAGCAAATAAAGCAAACTAAACAAAACAAATATGACTTTTGCAAAGTAATCAAACTAAACAACATTAAGGAACTAGTCCCCAATTCAGACACAATTTTTTTTTTTTTTTTTTGCTAAGCCAGAAATTTATTAATAAAAACAGAATTACACAATAGGGTGAACAGCAGAACCCTATAACTCAGCAGTAAAACACCATCTTATAGACAGAACAGAAGACAAGCACAATACAACCAGACATACTGCCATTTATCTTAGGCGATCAAAACAGAAAGAACTGAGACACAAGTACCGTAACACCAGGACAAAAACATTCAGACACAATTTCTGTTGTGTAAGAGAAAGAGTGGAACAGGAGACTGCAATCCTGTCATTGAATCTAAACCAAAAGGAATTTCTGATAGCCGAAACAACAGCTTCTATATCTCTGGATGGCCTGCCAAACATCCTTTGCTTGTGCTCCTGCCAAATAACACACACATATGAGCATCCGAAGCCAATCTAATTAAGGACAATAGATGCCAAAGCTTTGCTTTGCTCTTAAGATGGCTTACAGACCAATATAACTCAAAATACCAGTCACCCACATGTTTTGTACAAGTTACTAACTTGGAAACTCATGATTGTCATTTGTAAAATGAGGTTAGGAAATTCAAAAGACATATCCTAGTTTGCGGGCAATTTTTGGTTTTAGTTTTAAAAGCAATGCCAAGTTTAAAAAGGGAATGAGATGCCCAAAGTTGAAACCTTCTTGAATTAAATTTCGAATGCATTTACTTTAGTGTAGATATAGATATCACACTTATAATGCAAGAGAGTATTTAAATAATTTTATTAGTTTAGGCAATTAACTACAGCTCAAAGAATCAACAAGAAAACTTTTGAGTTATTAAGTATTAGAATGCTTACCAAATGACTTTGAAACTTGACTTTTGATAGAGTCACGTAGAAGATCTTCTCCATTTTCGATTCCGATTCCATGGAAACCTATCCATCCATTTGTTTCCCATTTCATTCAGCACTGTATATCCAATAGATAACCCAATCACCAAACCACATCCATACCCAAACAATACGATTTTCCAAACAGATATACCAGCTCCCCATGAATCTTCATCTTTCTTAGGGGTTGGCATTCCAAGACCAACTTCATTGCATTTCATTGTCAAAGGTGGCCCACACAATCTTGGGTTCCCTTTGTAAGAATCGTTTGAAAATGTATCGAATTGGTAGCTTTGTGGTATGCTTCCTTCAAGTTGGTTGTAAGAGAGATTCAATACTTCAAGAAAAGTTAGGCTTGTAAGCTGTGGAGGAATCTTTCAGGAGAGTTTGTTCTGAGAGAGGTCCAACGATTCAAGCTCAGTTAAATTTCCAAGTACTAAGGGAATTGGGCCAATGAAGCTGTTGTAGGACAGGTTTAGCATTTTGAGTGACTTGAGGTTTTGTATTTCTTCCCGTATTCTCCCATGGAAACTATTATTGGAAAGGTCAAGACAAGCAAAGATTGTTAAGATTTTCTCATAAAAAATTACAAACCCTTTATTCACAATTGTCACAGAGTCCTGTTAGTAATAATCTCCAATATAATCTGGCTTAGCTTTATTGCCATCAATCATCATCTTCATTGCCTTCAAAGATTGAAAAAATCCAATAGGTAACTCACCTGAAAAGTTATTAGAAGCAATCAATCATCATCTTCATTGCCTTCAAAGATTGAAAAAATCAAATAAGTAACTCACCTGAAAAGTTATTAGAAGCAAGGTCCAATATGTGTAACTCTGGAAAAACAGTTTCATCCTTAGAAATTTTAATCGGACCATAAAATCTATTTGCTCTTAGTACAAGAACCTTCAAAGAAGGCAATTTCACCAACCAAAAAGGAAATGTGTCTTGTATCATATTTTTTCCAAAATCCAGAACTTCAAGGCTTTTGCAATAGGCTAATGACCTCGGCAAATTTCCTTCCAATTTATTCCCACCAATTTTGAGTGACCTTAATTGAGTGGCCTGAAAGAAATCAATTGGTAACTGACCAGAAAAATTATTGAAAGCAATGTCTAGTACATCCAAGTCTTGAAAATTATTTTTCACATGTTTAATTGGACCATAAAACCTATTTGCTCGCAATATAAGAACAACCAACCAAGGCAATTTTCCCAACCATGAAGGGAATGTGTCATACAGATTATTGTTTCCAATGTTTAAAACTTGGAGTATTGTGCAATTGGCCAATGACCTTGGCAACTTCCCTTCCAATTTATTATCATTGAGTTGAAGCAAATTTAATTGGGTTGCTTTTGCAAAATCTGGCATGCTGCCACTGAAATTATTTTTTTGTAGATCCAAATAACTGAGAGAACTGATATTGCCCAAGCAACTTGGGATTGGCCCGCTTAATTTGTTATAGGATGCATTAAATCTCCAAAGATTACTCAAATTGCAAACAGGTCTTGGTAAGGAGTCTTGTGAAGAGTTTAGAGATTGGTTTAGTGAAAATTGGTCCAAAGATGAGAGAGAATTGTTAGAAAGATCTAGATATCTCAAACTTTTCTTCCACACCCAGTTTGGTACTGCACCACTTATTTTGTTATTTGAAAGGTCAAGATCTTCTAAACTATTTTGACTCTTTAAAAGCTCTGGAAACATACTTAGGTTACAGAATCGTAAACGCAAGTAACTCAACATTGGAAAAGAGGAGTTTGCATCACCAAAAGGAAACTCTGTTGAAAAATCAATTGCATTAAAAGAAAGGTCTAACCCTACAAGGGTGGTCTTCCATAACCAATTAGGCACAAAACCATGGATTTGGTTGTTAGAAAGACCTAGAAAAACCAACTTGTCTTGAGTTTTGATGAATTCTGGAAATTCAATAAGGTTACATGAATTTAGGTCTAGCTCCTCTAATTGGGGAAAAGCAAGGCTTGTGATGTTGCTTTCAATTGATAAGCTCGTATTGGGAAGGTCAAGAAGCCCTAAGTTCTTGAGTTGGGAGAACATGTCAAGCTTCATGAAACTAAAGCTATTGTAGCCTAAAGACAGTGTTTCAATCAAGGAGGAAGATGCATTGAGAAACTCATCAATTGCACCAAACAATTGATTTCCACTAAGATCCAAGGCCTGCAATGATGGGAGAGTAAATAAAGAAGAATGTATTGATCCAGAGAGGTAGTTCCCCGATAAAAAAAGATATGCAAGATTTGGACCTCCGGATCTATGAAATGCAGGGATAAAACCATGGAAATTGTTATAGGATAGATCCAGTTTCACAAGGTTAGTAGGATTTGCAGTTGATGATGGAATTTGTCCAAAGAACTTGCAACCACTGAGATCTAAATTTGTCAAGAACTTGAGATTACCAATTGTTTCTGGCAGTTTTCCACTGAAATTTGTATAAGAAATCGTTAAGATCCGTAAAGCATTGTTTAATGGAAATTCTGGCAACTGACCTCCAAGAGCATAATTATCTGAAATGTCAATGCTTTCTATTTTTGGCAACAGAAAAATTTCTGTTGGAAAATGCCCACTCAAATTGCAATTCACTAAACTGAGAGAAACCAAATGAGAAGAAATTTCCAAGAAATTGGAAGGCAAATAAGAGATCGGATTCCCACCAAGGAAAAGTTTGGAAAGAAAAGGAAGTTTTGAGAGTGAAGAACAAAATGGCCCAGTCAAACCACAATTCAACAGACTTAACACATGCAGGTTGGGAAGTACTATGGATGTGGCTTCACACCATTTAGTACTTTGAGTTGAAATGTTCACACTATCCAAGTAGAGCTCTGTAAGAGGTCTCAAATTTTGGATTAATGTCTTGAAGTTTGGGTTTTCTAGTTTCAGAGGTTGATAAAGGTTGAAAGGAACATCGTACCAGAAATTTGGATCAAGAATTTGGTAATTGTGTAGATAGCAAGAATCTTGATGAGATAGATCAAGGGAGACTAACCTTGTTAAATATGAAATCCCCACTGGAATTTGGCCATGGAAACCTGAGTTTGAAAGATTAAGATGAGTTAAATTTGGGAGTCTATCAAACTCATATTGAAACAGAGTGGTATTAAAATTGTTTGCAGCAAGATTAAGGCGTTGAAGATGATGGAGATTGAAAATGAAGTGAAGGCTTCCTGAAAGATTTTTGTAACTGAGATCAATCCCAATCACATGACCAAGAGCATCGCATGTAATTCCTTTCCAAGCGCAACAATCAGTGTTGAGATCCCAAAGCTTAACTTTGGAAGAGAAAGTAAAATTGGGGGCATAGTAAACATCATGGTGCAGTTGCAACAGAACAGCTCTCTGGTCATCAAGGCATTGGTTTTGGAGATAAGCATGACAAAGGGAAAAAGATAGCACAAGAGATGAGAAGCATGAGAAGAGAAATAAGGCAGGCAAAAAGAGTGGAATTAGGATATGAAGATTCTTCATGTTTTATTAGCTCTCTAAAAAAAATGAAAGAAGGATTGAGGTGTTTGAGATTTGCATACACAATATTTATAGACAAGTACTTCACATTACGTACTGTTATTGCAACTATCTTCAGTCCTTGATCTTAAGAGATAGGTTCAAATGCATTTTTTCAACCACGTGTTTGTACAAATCATGAGTTTGAGCTTTTTTTTCTTTAAGAGTTGAATCAAAATAGATGGAAGACAGATATATTCATCGTTTGTCCTTTTTGAATTTTAAAGAATGAATAATGGGTTTCAATGGTGATAAGGCTCCTAGTTTTGCTTTTGTAAACTAATATTTATTACATCTATACGTAATTATACTTATATTTTCAAGTGTCTTTTTTTATTATTATTGTTTACATCAGGAGGATAAAACCCTAGTACAAGTATATTCCAAAATCATTTTGATTTTTTATTACATTTGTATATTTAAAACCTCAAATATAAATTTTATATAGTAAATTTATGTTTTTAATATAAATACGCTCATAATAAATAGAAATCAGAAACGCCAACAAAATTTTAAAAAAAATAAAAAGAACATTAGAAAAATTTGTCTATAATATCAAATACACTCATACTTTATATTGTTTTAAACTGAATAAATTTTATAATCGAAAAAAAAAAAAAGAAATTAACCAGCGAGATTAGATAATTTTCTCTCTTTTTAATCCTCCAGTTAATTGATGCTTTTGGTTTTTATTTTTTAATAAATGAATTGAAAACAAAAAAGAAATAGTAAAAGAAAAAAATATACAAACCAAATGAAATCTAAATTATATTTTCAGCTGAATCTCAAGAATGTAATAATTAATCATCTTAAATAATTAGCAATTATTCACTTGGTGGAATCTTATCTATAAGATTTGAGAAAGTACAATGAAAGAGTCAAAATGTTGATCGTGGTATTCAATAGATACCTAAATTTTCAATTATTTGGAAATAATAGGATCTACATATCCAATTATTTGAAAATAATAGTATCAAAGAAAAAGTTTAGGATTTGAAAATTGTCTTTTTTTTTTTTAAAGTCCTTGAATCAATGGAAATTATACTTTATAGAGATCCCTTTTTTAATGTTAAAGCTTCTAGATGTGTATTTCTAATAAGTTATATAAATTACTGATTTTTCATATCCGGATGTAGAGAAAAAAACGATAGTGTATCTAGAATCATCCATCATAAAATTATACTTTATAAAAAAAATTGATTTTTTATTTTGGACTAAAAAAAAATGATAGTATGAGATTTTTTTATTGGTTTTTAATTTTCTATTTGCTTTATACTTTTAAGTCTTCTCATCATGCCAATGTTTAAGTCTTCTTACCCCAACATTACTCTATGAAAAATAATCTTCTTAGCAATTTGTTTAAGTCAAGTTTGTCATTTAAAAAAGACAAAACAAACAACAATTTTCTCAATTGAAATTGTCTTTTGTCTTTTAGTTAAATTGACATACTGAGACTGGATTTTAAGTATATTAATTATTATTTTTATATTTTGGTCTTTTTAATAACTTAGACTAAAGCAATTGCCAATATTATTATTTTTGTGAAGTAAAGATGAGGCAAAAAGACTAACACATTTGCATGCTTAATGCCAAGACTAAGTATAAAGCAAAGATTAAGACTTCAACCAATACATTACCATAGTATCTATCATTTTCTTTCTCATTCCACCATTATAAAATCACAATTTCCAAAATAAACAAGTTTAAGAAGTGAGGGAAAGAATGTGTTCTTTAGATTTTTTTTTCAAACTTTTCAGAAAAAATAAAACATAGATTTTTAATTTGTTGATTTTTTTTGGCCAATCAATTTGTTGATTAAACAATTTTTTCTCATTATTTTGTTCCTAATGTACTATTAGATATCATGGCATGTGCATTTTTTATTGCTTCAATTTTTTATGATTAATATATTTTAAAGAGATCCTCTAGTTTAAAATTTCAATGATCCAATAACCATGTAGTCTATTAGTAAAATACTAAACTTTTAGTTTCAATAGTTTAAAGTTCAAATTTTGACAATCTCACATAAAAAAAAAAAAAAAACAATCTTCTAGTTTCACAAATTTCATGCATACGAGATAATTTTTATATATTTCAATTTCTTCACATACAATTAATAGAGTTTTTAAATTTTATAAATGATATTAGCATCTCATACTTTTGTAACATATTTTCTTTTAACTATTTTTTTCCAAACCAAATTTATCTTTTTTAACTTATCAGAAATGAAAATCTGGTAAGTTATATAACTTATTAGAAATATATATTCAAAAGTTTAAAAATTAAAATGAGATGGGTAAATAAGTAATATCACTTAAAAAATTTAAAAAAAAAAGTAAATGTAGAGAAAAAATTATGGTGTATTTAGAATCACCCATCACAAAATTATATTTTATAAAAAAAATTGATATTCTAATTTTGGAATCACAAAGAAAATGATAGTATGAGATTTTTTATTGGTATTTAGTCTTTTCTTTGCTTTATACTTTTAAGTCTTCCCATCATGCAAATATTTAAGTTTTCTTTCCCATTATTACTCTGTGAAAAATAATATTCTTAGTAATTTGCTTAAGTCAAGTCTGCTTTAAAAAAAAAAAAAAACATAGCACTTTTCTCAAAGGAGGTTGTCTTTCGTCTTCCTGTTAAATTGGCAGACTGAAAATGGATTTTACGTATATTAATTATTATTATTATTATATTTTAGTCTTTTTCATGACTTAGATTGGAGCAATTGCTAAGATTATTATTTTTGTAAAGTAAAGATGGGAAAAAAAAACTAACACATTTGCATGCTTGTTGCCAAAACAAAGTATAAAGCAAAGTCTTAAACTTAAACAAACACATTCCTATAGTGTCTATCATTTTGTTTCTTATTCCACCATTAAAAAATTACAATTTCCAAAATAGACAAGTTTGATAAGTGAGAATGAATATGTTCTTTAGATTTTTTTTTTCAAACTTTTCAGCAAAAATAAAACACAAGTTTTTAATTTGTTGATTTTTTTGGCCAATCAATTTGTTGATTAACGAGCTTCTTCTTCATGCTTTTGTTCCTAATGTACTATTTGAATTCAGAGTATGTGCATTTTTTTTATTTTTTTAGTTGTTATTGTTAATATAATTTAAATGGATCCTCTTATTTAAAAATTCAATGAGCCAGTAACCATATAATCTATTAATAAAATGCTTAACTCTTAGTTTTAATAGTTTAAAGTTCAAACCCTAGCAACCTCATATAAAAAAAAATCTGCTAATTTAAAAAATTTCTTGTATGTGAGATAATTTATATAGAGTTTTTAAATTTTATAAACATTATTAAATCCTATACTTTCTATAAGATATTTTCTCTTAACTATTTTTTTTCAAACCTAAATGTAACCTTTTTCAATTTATTGGATATGAAAATCTAACAAGTTTTATAACTTAAGAAATGCATATCTAGAAGCTTTAAAATTAAAATGAGATGAGTAGATAAGTAATTTTGCTTAAAAATTAAAAGAAAAAAGAGTGGACGTAAAGAAAAATATAATTGTGTATTCAGAATCATCCATCACAAAATTATAATTTGTGAAAAAATTTGATATTCTAATTTTGGACTCACAAAAAAATGATAGGATGAGATTTCTTTATTGGTATTTAGTCTTTTCTTTACTTTATACTCTTAAGCCTTCCCATCATGCAAATGTCTAAGTCTTCTTGCCCCATCATTATTATGTAAAAAATAATCTTTTTAGCAATTTACTTAAGTCAAGTCCGTCTCTTAAAAAATATAAAAAAAATTACAATTTTTTCAATGGTGGTTGTCTTTTGTTTTTTAGTTAAATTAGCAGACTACAAAAGGATTTTAAGTATATTAATTATTATTGTTATATTTTAGTCTTTTTAATGATTTAAACTGAAGCAATTGCTAAAATTATTATTTTTGTAAAGTAAAGATGGGGGCAAAAAATTAACACATTTGCATGTTTGATGTCAAGACTAAGTCTAAAGCAAAGACTATGATTTAGATCAATGCATTCCCATAGTATCTATCATTTTCTTTCTTATTCCACCATTATAAAATCAAAATTTTCAAAATACAAGTTACAAGAGGAATAATGTGTTCTTTAATTTTTTTTCAAACTTTCAACAAAAATAAAAGACAAGTTTTAATATTTGATTTATTTTTATTTGCCAATCAATTTGAATTAAGAATTCTTTCTCATGCTTTTTGTTCCTAATGTACTATTAATTCATGTATTGCATTTTTTATATATATTTTATTGTAATAATATTAAATAAGATTCTCTTATTTAAAATTAAAGAAAAATATCATGTATTTTAGTAAAATATAAACTCTTAATTTCAATATTTAAATTCAAATCCTAATATTCACATAAAAATAAAAAGTACAATTTTCTATATTCAAAATTTTCATTATACAAGATAATTATATATATATTAAATTTGATTTCATCATATATGATTAATTTAATTTTAAATTTTATTAAATGGCATTAGAATATCATACTTTATGTAAGATATTTTTCTTTAACTATTTTTTTTCCAAAACTAAATGTAACTTTTAACTTGCCATATGAAAATCCAGTAAGTTATATCTAGATGCTTTAAAATTAAAATAAGATGGGTAAATAAGTAATTTCACTTAAAAATTAAATAAAAAATGATATAGAGAAAAAAATGATGATATATTTAGAATCATCCATCTCAAAATTATACTTTATAAAAAAATTGATATTTTAATTTTGGACTCAAAAAAATGATAGTATGAGATCTTTTTATTGGTATTTAATCTTTTCCTTGTTTTATACTTTTAAGTCTTCCCATCATGCAAATGTCTAAATCTTCTTGCCCCATCATTACTATGTGAAAATAATCTTCTTATCAATTTGCTTAAGTCAAGTCTGCCTTTTAAAAAAGACAAAAAAAAAAAAAAATTTTCTTAATGAAAGTTGTCTTTTGTCTTCTAGTTAAATTGACACACAAGGAATGGATT